ATATATATACACACACACACACACACACACACACACACACATATTTGCTTATAGTCCTAGCTTTGGCTGCAAAAAATAAATTCTTGATGATTCTCTGAGTAATGGAAATTTAAGGAAAAGCGTCATTCCCAACATAGCTAACATTTTTTGCCTGTTTACTATGTGCCCAGCAGTATCCTAAGCACTTTCATGGACAGATAGTCCCTGACTTAGGATGATTTGACTTAGGATAATTTGGCTTTATGATGGTGCAAATAAAAATATGCATTCAACATTCCTATTTTGCATTTTGATTTTCTTTTCCTGGACTAGCAAGATGCAGTATAATACTGTTCCAATGCTGGGCAGCAGCAGCGTCTGCAGTTCCCAGTCAGCCACGTGATTACATGGGGAACAAACAAGACTATGCTGTACTGCATGGATAGGCTCTGATGTTCCGTAGATTAGGTGTATTCAAGACACTTTCAACTTATGATATTTTCAATGTACCATGACTTTATCAAGATGTAACCTCACTATATTGATTGATTTGATCTCCAGAATGATCCTAGGGAATAGTGACAGTGAGTCTCCTCCATTTATTAGACAAGAAAAGTGAGGCCCAGGGAAATGATAGAACTTCATGACAAGATCACAGGTAACCAGACTCCCTGGGTTCTTCATCCCAGGATCTCTGGGCTCTTGAAGGACATTCTGTTCCAGACTCTAGGATGGCAGAGAGTGCTAACCAGAAGGAATCAGCTTTACAATTTTGTAAGGAAGCATAGTATTAGAGGCAAGTTGATGTAGACTATTTTATTCTGAAATGCAAACAAACACATGTACATTTCAGCCAAGCTAAGCCACTATGTCTCTGTAACCCATGTACCATTCAACTAAAAATATCAGTGACACACGTAGAAACAAATTAGCAGAATTATCAAATGTTGGTAACGTCTAATGGCTCTGAGTCAAGGGTAGGTATATCTTGCTTTAGGGACTCTCTGCACTTCCTTCCAGGGCTCTGTGGAAGGACTCTGATTTTTGCTTTGATGTTCACTTTCCAATTCTGAATATGTTCTCACACATCTCCTGTAACTCCTTCCCTATTCGTGGAGATGCTGAGGAGCGCTGCCCTAGAGCACAGTGTGAAACACGATCTACTCTAATATGATGCAGGGCTGTGTCTGCTGAGGGACTGTGTCCCCAATTAGCACATCCTTTCTTTTCTTTTATAATTTCTGACTCAGAATTTTCACACATGCCCTAATATTTTTTTCACAGATAGGACTTCCCTAAGTTCATATTTTCATTATTCCTCCCAGAATGTTCTCTTTTCTCTGTTAACAAAGGTAAACTCCAATTAGAAAATTCCTTACATATACAGTTTTATAAGTTGTCCCTTTGCCTGTATAGTATAATGGCTAAAAGCACAGATTTTAGATTCAAGTTGCCTGGGCAAACCCAGTTCTGGTGTTTACTGGCTGGTGACCTTGAGAAAAATTATTTTACCTCTTGGTGCCTCATGTTTCTCATCTCTGAAATGGTTATGATGAGCATTCAGTTATATATCTATATGTGCAAATGTGTGTGTGCAAGTGTGTACGCATACACACATGTGTACATATGTGTGGTATCTATCTTAGGACCATTTCTGGCACATGGTAAACACTGTGTGACTATTAGCTAGCATTGTTCTTATATCAGTGTTATAAGCTTGAAGCCCTACATGTAAAATGAATTTCCTAGGATGAGGAATATTGGCATGCCAAAGTTTCTTTTGTGCAATAAATTAGGAGACAGCATAGCATGAATCAGTAAATAGCTGTGGAGCCTTTTAGCCATTATTTTTGACCTTTATCTAAGAGCTGCAAATAGCTGCAAAAATGACTAATGAGTTTCTCCTATTTTTCCCTTTCAAACAGCTAGAGGTTAGCAGAGGGGTAGTGACATAGACAGGTGGTGGGAGAGAGTGGCTGGTAGGCAAAGAGAATATATATGATGGGGGTGGGCCTCCCCCTTGTAGAAACCCTAGGCAGAATTATTTACTGCTTCATCAGTGAAACCCGACATTGTAGCATTTCTCTTTTGTTCTTCCCACCAGACCAGAAGTCTCGATGGCAGAAGAGTCCAAACCCAATCCAGCATGGAACCAGCGCTACTTCTTTCCTGAGGAGAAATTTGCTTTCATGGCCTGGGGCTCTGAGAAGCAGCACCCCAGCCCTGCAGGCTTTGGTGAACCCAAAACAACAGGGTCTGCTCCTCCACTTAAGTTCCTGGGTGTTACTGGTTCCATTTTCTCCCCATTGCACTCTACAGCCATGCAGGAGGCTGGGGCCATTGAGGATATGGTAGAAGTGGAGAGATACTGTTTCTTTTTAGGCCAAGGGCTGCTCTATAGCAGGCAGTCTTAGAAGAGCTCATGAGAGATATGGTTGGCCATGATAAGTCACTTGCAGGGGTGTTAACCCCAGACTTGAAGATAGTGACCACTGCCAAGGTCATAGGTGACCTCTTTGCTGTGGGAGATTTGCAATGGAGGGGCTATTTCAAACAGGAGTGGCATCAGGAAAGGAGAAATGATGAGAGTATCCACAAAAATCATAGGACACTCTTGTAAGAAAGTCAATTAGACAGAGCCCCAGAGTGGGTGGGAATCCATGAATAGGTAGTACAGAGGCCAACAGACTTGGAGGACCCATAGCTAAGGTCTCAGGTACTTCTCCACCATCTCTCCTCTCCACTGGGGCCATGAACCAATAGGAATCATGATCAGAAGCCCAGAGCTTCTGGGGCCTGCCATTTTTTTTCTAGATTTCAGTAGGGTGTTAATGACCAAACCAAATTATCTCTAAAGTCCTCCTAATTGCTAAAATGATGGTTATAGAAATAGTCTTCTAAGAATATTCTTAAAGTATGCCTTTACTTGGCTTCCAGAGAGCCCTTGTGTGGCCTATTTACATGTGAACAGTGCATTTTATTCCATTTTTTTACAACTCTTTGCTGAAGCAGGGTCTCATTTTACAGATGGGTAAATTAAGGAAGTAGAAAGATAAGCAGTCTTTTTCAACAGAGATGCTTAAATGGTCTCTCTTTGTTTCCACAGACAAGAGTTTCAGCACTTCTCACCTCCTCCAGGCGCCTCAGGAATCCCTACCTCTTACTCAGCTTATTATAATATTTCTGTGGCCAAAGCAGAGCTGCTGAACAAGTTGAAAGACCAGCCAGAGATGGCAGAAATTGGCCTGGGAGAGGAGGAAGTGGATCATGAACTGGCTCAAAAAAAGGTAAAGTTTCTTAGTATGCCCTAGAGATTGTTAACATTTGTATCTGGAGGGTAACCAGCTTCTCTATGCCCTCTAAAACTCTTTCGTTCCTATATTTTCAGTATGGAACTCAAATAGTCTCTCTGGGTTTCTCATGGATCCAACTCCAGCTTCTTTTTGATTCAAGAAATAGTAGCAGTCGTAGTAATCAAATCAGTCTCCCCGATCCTTAAGACCATCATATAAAATAGGAATTGCTATCTTTTTTTTTAACCAGCTAGGGGATTGATTTTCCCAAGGGTTATATTCTAAATGATAGATACAGGACTTCAAGTCAAGACTCTGGATTTGTGCTCTACCAAGCTACCCCTCTGAGTTAAGTCAGCCTTGTAGATAACTCAACACCCAGGGCACATAAGGGCTTCTGCCAGTGAGTTCTAGCCAATGGCAGTGTCATTGATTTTTATTCTCTGTGTAACTTTCTGGGAGAGAGAACAGACTTGACTAAGGAAAATAAGGAGAAATTATAGGCTGGCAGACTTTGGTATTTATTTGCAATGATGGTCAATTATCTCTTAGAAATACAAAATAGATAAATGGAGATGATGTTGTTGTTGTTCCAAAACCTCCTTTTCTTCCTCTAAATACCACTAGCCTAGTTTTTAAATCAAGTTCCTGGAATCACTTTGCCCTCCCTGCACTTACCCATTTTATTTCATAAGCAAATAGGGTTGCCATGGCAACCTCAAAAGCCCAATTTACCGTTTTGTGGACATGTGAACTCAATGTAAATTGCTCTTCTGCCCATATTTCCCTTTCAGGACATGACCTGTAGGAAGGTACAGGGCCATTTGCAAAAGTCCTCCTTCCAATTTCCCATCTGAAGCAAAATGTCAGAGAAAGAATTGGAAGCATGGTGGTATCGAAGTTTGATTGCTCCTTTGATTCCATGTTCCCTGAGCATGACAGGGCTGCTCCACGCTTACTCAGGGCCTGACCTGTCAAGGGGCAAACCTAATAAAAGTCTAGCCAGGAGAAGATAGCAATGATCAGAAATGGCAAAGCACAGAACAACAGACAGTGATTTGAAGTGACTGTGGGTGGGCTAGGACAGTTTTTTGTTTCTGAGGAAGAAAGGTGAGGAAGGTCACCAATTTGCAATATCACAGAGAAAAACAGCCATCTATGGCTTGGGTCTGTATAACTCCCATAGCTGTACATACTGTATTTTCCCTAGGGCTGAGGTTCAGGCTGCAGAGTCCTAGTGCTGAGAAACAAAAGGCTCTTCTACTTCATTCTTCCACCCATCAGAGCCTGTCAGCAGGGGTGGGTAGGTGATTTTCTAAGTGTCCCTGGCATTGTGTTTTGTGTGGAGGCGCAGACAATGGTACAATACCTGGGAATCTTTTGATATCTACATATGTTGCCTCATTCACATCACCAATCCCCAGTTCCTGGTGGGTTTTAGAATTTCCCCCCAATGCACACTTATAACACTTCTGACGAAATCATGATCTCCTGCCTTTTGAACACTTCTAAAATATAACAACAGGCTCTAGAACCCAGAGGCAACTCTCTTAGTCTTGGTCATCTTGGACCTCTCTAAATAAATGACCAGTGAGGAACACATTCTAGAAAACTGTAAGCCAATGGTCCCAGAATACCTGAGCTGGAATAATACTAAAAAGAAGCACTGAAGCATGCTTCCTACATGCAAGATACTATTCCAAGCAGGTAACATGTTAAATCATTTAATCCTCATAACCACTCTATGAGATGAATATTATGGTTAGTCTATTTTTTTAGATGGGGAAATCAAGGCACAGAAAGATTGAGTAACTCATTCCAGATTCAAACCATTACTTTGTGTCAAAGCTGAGGTTCAAACACAGGTAGTATGGCACTCAAGGTAGTATGGCACTCAAGTGCATACTCCTAACCACTTGTAATACTGACTAAAAAAGCTACAGGTGACCTGAGTTGCCTACATGCCTGTCAGAAGCTTGCAGCTAGGTGAGTCTCCTTTAGTTTAGGGGATCTTATAGTAGTAGTGATGCTACTGCTGCTGATGGTGGTGGTGGTGGTGGCAGTGACAGCAGCATCAATTAGCATGCATTGAGCACTTCATGTTCCAGACACAATAGTAAATATTTTACCTCTGTTATCTCAACAGCTATCACAGCAACCAGGTGCAGGGAGTACTTATTCAGTTTATAGATGTGGAAATAGAAGTCTTAGTGGGATTAGGTATCTTGCTCAAGGTCAGAGAGTTGGAGGAGGTAGAATTGGAATCCAAGTGTCTCTAACTCTAAAATTTCATATTGCCTTCCTGTGGTCCCAGAACTGGTTATCCCTTGAATGCACACAAATTGGAAGACACAGGCAGTACTTTCCTTGAGAGAACGACATTTGGTGGTAGGCAGGGGATCACACTCACACACATGACATACCACAGGAACAACTTCAAATTATTCTGAAGGGTTGTAATTCTAGAAAACTTGAGAGTTCTGGATAAAAAATAAGAAAGAGAGGAAGATCATTGAAAGAATCCTTCCAGAGCTTCCAGAGAAGGGTTTTCCATAATGAAGGTGGGAGAAAAGCTGGGCCCTAAAAAAAAAAAATCATAATACCCAAAGGGAAGAATGAATGGGTAGAACTGTAGAAGCAACAAAGGAACACAGGGGTAAATCTGGGGAACATAGAGGACAGTGAGTAGCTAATCCTGAAAGATTTTGAGGAGTGAAATTAGAATGATAGGGGGGGACAAGATGGAATAATTATAATATTAATAACAGCAGCCTAGATTTTATTGAGCACTTACTCTGTGCTAATCCCTTTGCATGTATTATCTCACTGAATCATTACCACCCAGTGAAATGGGTGCTGAAAATACCCTCACAACTTCTACAGATAAAGAGAAGTTCACAAACGTCAACTCATCCAAAGTTCCAATTAGGAAGTGGCAGAACTAGAAGTCAAACCAAGTCATTGTGACTCCAGAATGTACACTCCTATCCAAAGGCCTCGAAAGCCAAGCTAAAGGGCTGGGAGTGTAGCTCAGTGGCAGAGCACTTACCTAGCATGCTCAAGGTCCTGGATTTTGTCCCTAGCACATAATAAATAACCAACCAACCTAAGAAAAATCTTAGACTGAGGATGTAGCTCAGTGGTAGAGCAATTGCCTAGTATACACAAGACCCTTGTTCCATTCCCAGCACATCACAAAAGCCAAGCTGTGGGGGCAAGGACCTAGCACAGTGCTATAAACAGAGAGATACTTCAGTGGAATGAAGGAGAATGATCAAAAATGATGACACATGCTTTTCCAACCTAGGATCTCACAGACATCTCACTCCTATTTATCAAACAGTCTCAACAAATATTCAATTGCATTGAGCAAATAAGGCTTAGCCCTTGGGTAGCACTTGTCTAATGCCAAGAAATCTGTTGATGACATGGAGATGCCTACCAGACAGGGACAGGAGATGCCTGTCCAGAGCACCAGAATTGCTCACCATTTGCTCCGATTTTCTTGGTTTCCAATGACTGGGGTAGAGCCTACCATCCGTTACGTGGATCCCAATACAAGAGTGATGGGCACTGATCCGTTTCTGTTGGTACCCATGCTCATCATTGGTCTTCTCCTGTTTAACTCCCCTAGATACAGCTTATTGAAAGCATTGGTCGAAAACTTTCTGTCCTGCGAGAGGCTCAGCGAGGGCTGCTGGAGGATGTGAATGCCAATTCTGCCCTTGGGGAGGAAGTGGAGGCTAACTTAAAAGCCGTCTGCAAATCCAATGAGTTTGAAAAATACCGCTTGTTTATTGGGGACCTGGACAAAGTGGTCAACCTGTTGCTGTCACTTTCTGGACGATTGGCCCGGGTGGAGAATGCTCTCAACAGCATTGATTCAGAGGCCAATCAAGAGAAGGTAGAATTGGGGTCCTTGGGGATGTGGATGGATAGAAATGCCAGGTGTTTCTCCTTAGGACTCTCTCTTTCATGTTTGGCTATTATGAGAGGCAAAAGAGTAGAATGTTAGCAGTGTGAGCACTGGCTTTCAAGTGTACCCCAATTCTAACTCTACCACTTACTAGCTGTGTAACTGTGGACAGTGTACTTAACGTCACTCTCTCAATCTCTTCATTTGTACAATGAGGTGAACACACTACCTGCCATGTCGGGTTGTTGTGAAGATGAAGTTAGATAATCCATGTTAAATACTGAGGCAATCCAGGGTAAATACCGAGTTGGTGCTAGCTGCCAGTAGTAGTGATGGTGGTAATGGCAGGAGCAGCAGCAGCAATTTTGCCTCACTGTCTCTAGAGTTGGAAAGGGAGTTTTCATCAAGCAGTTGAGATGGAGAGACTGTCAGTTTCACAGGTTGGCACACACTGTGTCCATACCTGAATCAAACTGCAGCACCCTTCTCTATATAAATGGCTTTGAAATCACCACAATAAGGGATGCATATATATGTGCACATCCACTCAAATGGAGGCACACGCCATAGAGAAAGCATTACCACAATGATGGTTCATGAGGCTGCTCTGTTAGAGCCTTCCCCGATCGCCAAACCCAGTGACAGTTCACAGATTAAAGATAGCCTTAGAGAAGGAAAGAGGTTCTAGCACACCCCCCTCTCCAGAGTGGCTGTGACGTCTGTGCTCCTCCAGCTACAGGAGAGAAAGGCATTTCTATGGCGGTGGCCTTTACATTGGGAAATCTAGGAGTGATCAATTAGCAGAACGGGTAGTTGCTTGGTGGTGCCTCCCTGGTGAGCACTGCTAGGCAGATGCCTGATAATTAGGAGAGCACTTAATTGGTCCTCTGCTTCCCCAGTTGGTGCTGATAGAGAAGAAGCAGCAGCTGACGGGCCAGTTAGCAGATGCCAAGGAGCTGAAGGAGCACGTGGACCGCCGGGAGAAGTTGGTGTTTGGAATGGTCTCCCGCTACCTGCCTCAGGATCAGCTCCAAGATTACCAGCACTTTGTCAAGATGAAATCTGCTCTTATCATTGAACAGCGAGAGCTGGAAGAGAAGATCAAGCTTGGGGAAGAGCAGCTGAAATGTCTCAGGGAGAGCCTACTCCTGGGGCCCAGCAATTTCTAATTCTCTCAGCAGACTGCCCACAGCATCCCTGCCTGGTCACAGTGGGAAGTGCTTTCGATCTTCAGTAGTGGTTTGTTAACAAGTAAACAGCAACAAGTTAGTGATTCATCCCAGCCCTCTACCCTGGCTCTGTCTCATGGCTTCTTCCCTAGCAGTGGTCCCAACCAGTGAGGGGACCCTAGGGGGGCACCAAGCTTCTGCAGGGAGCTGCGGCAAGGTGTGATCACACAACCACATTCTCCTTCCCACAGTGTATGTGGGTAAGCATTCACTGCCCACAGAATCACCAAAGTGCCTTTATTCTCTCTGTATCCGGACACCAAAGACCAAGAACTCCCCACCCATCTGTGCAGCTCCATTGTGCTCCAGGGCTTAGGGCCCAGACATCTCCCACAGAGAACTGCCTGACTTGAGGGCATTCATCTACCACCATTTTCAGAGCCTCACCCAAGCTTTGTAGTGGGAGGCATAGAAGAAGGGATTGTATGTGACAGAAGATGGGCAAAGGTAGGGCATCCTTAGGTGCCCCTCAGGAAAAAGCCAGGCTTAAACCAGTTGGCTCCACTTCTATCTTTCCTAGAAGCTAGTTGAGGGGAAGAGGCCTACTCTCATCCTTGACTAGTGAGGCCTTCTTCCTGTCCTCAGACCTTAGGCCTATCACCTCATATTTGATCTTGCCCTTGTATCACTGGGAGTTCCAGGTGCCTATTCCAGGACTTCACACTATGGGCTTTTAGTAGCTACTCCAGTTGACTTCTAGATATAGGTTTCATTATTGGGGGAGAGGGTTCTTGTTATATTTTCAATGACCTTTTGATTGTATTTATTTTCATGTTTTGATTGGGTTTTTTTTTTCATTTTTGAACTAATAAGGTGAGGAGAGGGAAGTTAGAGAGGGGAAAGAAAAAGAGAGGGGAAGAAGAGCATTTTCTGCAGATCAGACTGAGTCTAGGTAAGCAAGTACTGAGGCATTGAATTCTTCCCCACATAGCTACAAGTGTCTAAGAATGGAGTTCTTCCTTTGAACTCATAGCCACCCTACCATGGCCTGCCCATGTTCTTCCTTTGAAATCTAGATGACCATGAACTTAGCATACCCCAGCACAGTTCAACTTTTTTTTTGTGCTAATATTTGCAACCAAAGAAATTTCCCCAAATTAACAATAATTGCCCATTTCTCTAGCATCTCTAAGTCATGGGATGGGTGGAGGCACTCCTCTAACAACTTTTTTCTCAGCCTGTGACCTGGCTCAGGGAACCCAGACTATGATAGCTGGGAACAAATTATGATCCAGCCAGGATCTTAGGCAAAGATGATCCATCCTTATCTTTGCAGGCTGTGTGCCAAGAACCCCAGCGGGTGCCTGAAGCTATGGGTAGTAACCAAAACTTATATGTACTGTTTTTTCCTATACTTCCTACAGCATTGCCATATAGTACCAGAGTTAATCTATCTTCCTTGTTTTATGCCCTGGTGTCTCCTTTGCTTCACTACTCTTGCACTTTGGAACCATTATTAAATTTAAAAAAGGGGTTACTTGAACAGAAACACTGCAGTACTGCAACAGTCAATTTGATAACTGAAATGGCTCCTAAGTAATTAAAGGGAGGGTAGCCCATACAGTGTGGATATGTTGGACAAAGGTATGTCCCAGGTAGGATGTAGCAGGATTGCATCATTCTGCTCAGAATGATACACAAATGAAAGCTTATGAATTGCTTATTTCTGGAATTTCCCACTTAATATTTTTAGACCATGGTTGACCACAGAAAGTAAAACTGCAGATAAGGGGGAACTACTATACAAAGAACTGAAGTTGCTGCTATTGACAAGGCCCTGAGACTTGTAGCCAGCTTCTACCCTGGAAAAGTTAGCCATTGGGCAATGGCAGAAATGGAATTATAACCAAACTGTGTCCTATTACCCAGCTCATTGTCCCCATTGCTTGCTAACTAGGGTCAATCCTTGGCATTACACAGCCCATCTAATCCCATCCCAGCCGAGCCCTGGCACCTTGTTACTGCTGAGTTCCTCAGAGCCCTTGCAACTTAACTGCAGCAGCAGGGGTACCTCACTCAACCAAAGAATTTGCCAAGGAACTTTGCTGCTGCTACAGATACTGGTTACTAATTTCCGTTTCCTCTACATTGTGTCTGAAAACAATAGGAAAATTTTGGCCAGGAGGGTATCCTGGGGGTGGTGGTAACCCTTTATGTGGGGACCTGGGTATGCTCTTAGTACTGCTGCCAATGCCAAGACCACTGTTAGAATGTCAACCTTGTCATTTTCCCCTCTGGTGGAAGATTCTACTCTATTCAGGAGGGTTGATGGCTTTTAAAGGGCTGGGTTTACCCAAGTGAAACTTGAGAAATTTGGGAGAGTGCTTTGAATACAGGCCATTATTGCCACCTTTCAAAATGAAACAGAAGCCCTAGGTAAATAGTAAGCCCAGTTGAAATGTCTTTTATTAGGAGATGATGCCAATATGTTCCATCATTACAAGATTTTTTGGCTGGAATAGATTTTGTTGGGGTGGGGGTACTGGGGATTGAACTCAGGGGCACTCGACCACTGAGCCACATCCCCAGTCCTATTTTGTATTTTATTTAGAGACAGGGTCTCACTGAGTTGCTTAGCACCTTGCTTTTGCTGAGGCTGGCTTTGAACTTGCGATCCTCCTGTCTCAGCCTCCGGAGTCACAGGGATTACAGGTGTGCGCCACCACGCCCATCTGGAATAGATATTTGAAGTATGTACCCAGGGAAAAAAGTGGTCAACTTAACTGGTCACCATGGCATAGCTAGTGTGTTTGTGTGTGTGTGTGTGTGTGTGTGTGTGTGTGTGTGTGTGTGTGTGTGAGAGAGAGAGAGAGAGTGTGTGTGTGTGTTTTATTTTTTTTTAGCCATCATTACATTGGTTTTACCTTAATTTTTGTGATACCAAAAATATTAAGTCTGTTTTTTTTTGTTGTTGTTTGTTTGTTTTGTTTTTGTGGTGCTGGGAATTAAACCCAGGGCCTCGCACATGCTAGGTAAGCACTCTACCACTGAGCTACAACCCCAACCTTAACACTGTTATTTTTGTACCACATCCCACCTCAAATTAGTTTCTAGAGTTGGAATGAGAACACAAGGATGCTCATTTTCACATAGAACCATAGGTCCCAAAGTACTTAAAAAGTAACCCCCAAACTCTACTGAGCAGTAGAAGTTTAGTAGATAAAGGTGAACTACTAAACAGACACTGGCATATAGCACCTGCCTGCCATGGCAGTCCCCTTGTGAGAGATAGTGCTACAAAGCTGCCAGTATTATCTAAGATGCAATAGTTCTCCCCTATTCTCAGTGTAAGGGGCTCAGCCTTCTTCCAAGGCCTTTGAGGGGGTAGCAGTTTGGAAGACAGGCCAGATGGTATCCCCAAAGACAGTTATTGGTCTTGACTTCTGCTCTTTCCCTTCAAATATTTACATTGCCCCCCATGGGGAAAAAGGAAAGCTGATGGTGGATTGATAGAAAGGAGTCCAGTATAAGAGTTACTATCAGTTATCCCCTCTACTTCCCTCATCCCCAGGGCTCTGGATAGTTGAATCTCCCACAGTGATCCCACTGTTGTCTCACAGTTGGACACTCATCCAGGATCTAGAAGTAAATGCCAAAGTGGAGTCCAAGAGAATGAGACAGAGATACTTAAAATAAAGCACTAGCATGGGAGAGAATAGGAGAGGGAAGGAAGGACAGAGGGTGAAAAGATGAAATGGCTCTTTCAAGGCTGGGTTCAGATTCTGTTTTCCATTTAACTTCATGTGCCAAAAAGCTTCCCCGGGTCATCAGAGCCACATCCTGAACCCCAGCCTCCCTGAGGGTGCTGCTTTGCCAGTAGCAGGCCCCAGACAGAGGAAGCTGGGCACATTTCTGGCTACTTCCACCCATCTGGAGCTTGGCAACTCCTGCTGTCTTGGCCAGAGGAGTTGCCTATGCCAATAATATTTCTGTAACAGCATATTGTACTATTTGAAGATTAGTAGATCTTTAGGGGGTGGGTGGGTCATGGGCCATTTGTATAGATAAAGAATCAGTGTTTGTTGTACAACTGTGGGGGGGATCAATCCCAGGTGAAGCTTATTTTTTTGAATCTTACTGTCTCTATATTTGTGTCCTCCACCACTCCCTTCTTGGCTGACATAGATATGCCTGCCAGATTGTCATCAAGGGTCATACTTTAATAAAAGGTGCTAAGGACAGAAAATTGTCTCGTGTGTTTTGACTCAGGTTATGAAAATTCCTTAATATTCTGCTGAGAAGTATCTCAAAGGAATTTGATCACCTATCTATTGTCTGTCATAGATAGCTTTGACAAGCAGAGCCCTCCCACATTCCTAAACCTCTACTTTGAGCTCTTAGGGATGATATTGATACTATACCATTTATTATCCCTAGTAAAATTGCAGGGTCTGACATAGCCTTTTAAAGGGAACAGCTTTTAGACATCTATTCTAAGAACAACTTGACTATGAGACACAGAGTTTATGTGCCATTGGTCAATTTCTCTTGTTACAACAAGATTGAAGCAAGGCATTTTTCAACTTAGAAGAAATTCAGGACCACAAGCTCTGTCCTTTGGTTCACGGATATATTTCTTGCTCTGTGGGTAGTTATATTGGTCCATTTTTCCATTATTATAACAACATACATGAGCATAGGTAACTTTACAAATTAAAGAGGTTTATTCAGGTCACAGTTCAGAAGGTTCAAAGGCATGATATTTGCATCAGTTTAACTCTGGTGAAGACCTCATGGTGTTCATGTAACAGAGAGATCACATCACATCAGGATGCCAAAAGTGAATCAGGGGTCAGCCTCCTGTTTTTGTTTTTGTTTTTTTGTACTAGGGATTGAACTCAGGGGTGCTTACCCACTGAGCCACATCCCAAGCCCTTTTTGATATTTTATTTAGAGACAGGGTCTCGCTGAATTTCTTCGGGCCTCACTAAGTTGCTGAG